GACTGCAGTTGCGGGAAAACTCATCGAACATCCTGACGATTCAGGGTTCCTTTTCCGCTGGCGATCGAATCCTGTTGGATAGTTTCCGACCGCGCGCCTTTGGATAGTCTTGGTCGTGATATGCAAATGGCGATGTTCGAGAAGACTATGTGTTCACAGGTGTCAGTAAAACACGTCTAGCTGCAGACATGGTGAGTAGTGTACAGCCTCGAAAATAGAGTACGGCAACAACTTGGCACGTGATGAGCCGGCAGATTCTGCAGCAGGTTTTGACACTTCCATGCATCAGCAACTTGTTGGTTCAGCGGGGGCGCCATGCTTGCGCAGGTTCTGTTTGGAGCTTTTCTTTCTTCTTGTTGGTTTAAGATTTTGGGCTGGATCTATAAACTTGTTCTGCTGCCTGCAAGCACCCTCATCGGGCCAGAATCTCTAACATGATCGCGTTCTAGGATCCCCATGACAGGTCCAATGCCTGATGCGCATTTGCCGGGCAGTAGGCAGCTCCGATGAGAGTGGGCAGGGCACACAGCGAGCGGTTGCTTTTCAACGAAGGGATTGCCGCTTTTGGGGCTCTGGATTGTGGGCAGTGTTTGGCTTCTGGGAGATTCTAGGGAGTAGCTGTGTTGTAGCATTCTCAAGCCAACTGATATGCTCCGAGGCGCATGAGTTCAGCTGAATTCGTAGAGGGAAAAGGAGTGATAGACGGATGGAAAGAGCTGCATTCCCGCCGCTACCCTACAGCCTCCTGACAAGATACCCGAACTTAGACCATCCCCTTACGCCTTGCGCGGCGCAGAGGTTGCAGGTGGCAAGTGCGACGCACCGCTCCGCGGCCCTGAACGCCCGGTGCTTGTGGAGCTGGGCGCTGGGAGCCGTGCAGGAGCTTCTTCCGGGTTGCGAGGGTTTTTGTAACCTTAAGGCTTCTTGCCGTCCGCAGCCCCGGGTCCATAGGTGAAATGTGAAACTGGTACATGCAGGCTTTCTCTAGACCAACCTAGTTCAAGCCGAAGGGGAGTCTTGGGAAGTGGATTTCCAGAGCTGCGGAGCTTGACTTGACTGTTGGAGGCCGGCTCGTTCCAGCATACTGATCCGAGCCCTCGGCAACAGAAGAAGGAAGCACCCTGGACACCGAACCCCAAGTCCTACAAGCCGAACCCACAACAAGGTCATGGCCGATGAGGCAGTCCCGCCAGCAACGGCTGCAGTCGGGCGCTCAGCTCCCGCTCAGGATTCGGCCTACTGCGGATTTAGGGGTTGAGGTTTAATTTAGGGGTGTGGGTCGTTTTAGGGGTTTTGGGGGTTCAGGTTTGAGGCTTATTATAGGGTTTATGTCAGGCTTCGAGGTTGCGAAGAAGAATGCGACTGGACATGCCTGCAGAAGCGGCAGCGTTGTACGAGCAGCGTGTGACTCCGCAAGGATCGCTAGCATGATACCGATGGTGACCTAGGCCTTTGTCAGGGATTTCGCGATGGCCGGCCAGGGAAGCAGTTGCTGGGAAGGCAGCTTCCATGCAAAGCTAGGGTGTGCCGGCTGTCTTGTTGGAATGAAGCTCTGCAAACAACTCCCGGCAATGGGAATACATCGAGAGGTTTTGTCGGAGTTGGACGCAGAGGCGCCTGCAGTCCCAAAGCCGAATCTGGAACACCGGACCCCACCTGCTTCCAAAGCCTCGGAAGCCAGTGGTCGTTTTGGCCAAGGGCTTTGAGCCAGACTCAGCACGCACGAAGCCTTTCGTTCAGGATGGGGCAAGGTCCAAGAACCCCCGAACAACGGCACTCCATCGCGCTCTTGGGTTTTAGGCCCCAAGAATCGCTTTAAAAGCCCTCCAACCTGGCAGCCACCCTGAACCCTAAACTTCCCTAAACCCTAAACTGGCAGCTCTTTGAATTGAAGAGAAGGGAGAGCCAAGGAATGGTTGCCTCGAAGTCCCTGTGGCCACCTTTGACGGCCCTGCTCCACCGGGGTGCCGCTTCCGCCGGCCGGCAAGAGACGGCTGGGCGCCCCGGGGAGGGCTTAGGGTTTGGGTTTTTGGGAGTTATAAGTGGAGTAATAAGTCCCCTAATGCAGGTTATAACTATATATTATATATAGTTACCCTACTTATGACCCTACTTATAACTGCCCATAAGCCATGGTGTAGGGTTGAGCTTTCGAGCTCCGGAGATTGAGGGCTTGTTGAGTGCAGTTTGGACCTTGCGCTCTCGCGGGGAGCATGGGTCGTCACTGAATAGGAAGGCTACCCAAAGCCATCCACAGGCTGTTTTCAGGCTTATTCACAGACTTGATGGACATGCTTGGAGTCGTGCTGCGGGAGTTTTGCGTAGGGCCGCCCAGAAAGATCACAAGCCACCTTCGGCATCGCCATGCCTTGAAGTGACCCCGAATGTCCGAGGCTGCCGACTTCCTTCAGCACTTCTGCGAGCTTCTACAGGCAGGTTCAGGGCAGAGGGATTGGCGTGCCTTTGGTTTTGGTAGGCTTTCGGTGCTTCTTTTCGGCTTGGGAGTCGCTGGGGATTCAGGGTTGGATATGTTGTTTGCAGTGGTTTGGGGATAGTGGTGCGGGTGTGTTTTTGCAGCTTGAGGTCCGCTGAAAGTGATCGGCAAAGGCCTCCGAACCCGCTTTATACCGGTATCTAACTCCACAGACCAAGCCGCAGCCCAGAACGACCCGACAGCCCGAAAGCTTTGCCCTCCTGGGCCATCGCATTCTGGGCTGAACGTCTTCAGACAGGTCCGGAGCAGCTTTTGAAAGCCTGGAGCTAGACACCACACCAGGGGTGCAGATGAGAGAGAGAGAGAGAGAGCGAGTTTCGGCGAAGAGCCTTGCAGAAGAGGACTCCGGAGTCACTGTACGCCGAGCTGTTGGGGTTCGGGGTGCTGCGGCTCGGAAGTGCTCTTGCAGCCTTGAGCTCTGAACCTTGAGGTCTACATCAGAAACCCTCAGCCTGAATCCGACATCTTGCATGCCCCGAACGGCCAGCGGCAGGTCTTTCCTGAGAGTGCCTGGGCACCGGGAAAGGCGGAGCTGCTACTGGCAGAGATTCTGCAGGCAGGAACTCAGGTCTGTGTGGCTGAGAGTTTTCTCACCAGGCAGAGTTTGGTTGAGCCCCTAAAGCCACTCCCCTTTCCGGAAAGAAGCACTGCAGCATATGGGTGGATTCAACGTAAACACTTGGTCATTGGAACCCTGGCACGAGATACCTGAGTAGAGAAGAGCGCAGGGTGTCCGCAAAGCAACTCCATCCGAACTTCAAACTTCCGTCTTCTGAAGCCCACAGGCATGGTGATGAACCCCGTAGAAAGGCTTAGTTCTCAGCTTGCAAGCATCTTCGTTTTATGGCATCGTGGAGAATGACGCGTGTCAGAGGGCCTATTGCGGATATCAAGTCTAAAGTCTATGATCTTGGTATAGGGTGTGTTTTGGATGTACGAAGGGAACCCGGCTCATACTAGCTCACTGTCAGTCCCTGGCGCACCCTCGCGGTGCCTTCGCAGCTGCGGGGGCGGATGCGTGGCAGGTCTGCGGTGGGAATGCTCGGGTGGAATAAGATCGTTAATTCCATTGAGGTTGTCTTATGTGAGAAGCTGAGTTTTGAATCTTTCTGTGTGTTTCGAGGCTGGCGTCCGTAGTCAGTACCATTGTCGTGTTACATGTAGTGCCGCAGGAAGGTTGCATTCAGAGTTGCACTTTTCCAGACAGGGTTTATCCTTTCGTTACGATCCTGCCATGACTTCGCACAGCCTCAGAAAGAAAACCCTGACCTGTCCCAAACCCGAAGCCCCGCAGAAGCCGAACCCAAGAAGCCACAAAGCACGCGCTTTCCCTAGTCAAGTCTCTGAGCCTCAGGAAGCCTTTCCGTACATGGTACAAGGTCGCCATATCCCCTTCGGCCAACCTCTGCAAATTCCACGGACAAGGTCTCAAGTAGCTCTGACAGCATGGCGCACAGCACATGCGTGGGATACAGTCACGTTCCCACCGGCTGTTACGACTCCTGCCGTGCCACGAGGGCGGCCCTCATGCCATCCCGCACGGAATGACAGCAGCAACTCATTACTAGTCTCATTCGAAGCCGATCGGAGCCGGTCCCGAAGCATATCGCTCCCTACATGCCAGATCCCGAAGCAGAAACTGTTGAAATCGACTCCGGTGGCCCTGGAATGCTACTGTAGGCCCGGAAACCGAAACCGCCCTGCAGCTTGAACTGGCCTTGACCAAAGCACCGTCACAGGCATACTTCTCCATCTGCTCGACTGCCGGCGTCCACGCATTGTACTGAGGAAGAAGGAGTTCGCTGACTAGGATCTGTGATGATTTTTGGGCTTCGGCATGTGCATTCATTCGCTTTGAAATTGAGACCGTTTGATCCCCAGCTGTGTAAGACAAAGTGGACTCGGCAGCAGAGAGGGACCAACCTACAGCTGCCCAGGTGGCGCCGGACTGGCGTTGGCACCCCGTAGTGCTGTACCTGGGCGGCAGGCATCCATCCAGGGGTCCTGCTGCCGTCAACCTAAGCTCGCATTTTCGGAGCTCGAACTCTGAGGCCCCCCCGACAGCCCGACAGCCTGGGTCCGGGTTGAAGGCTTCCGATGAGAGCAAGGGAGCTCGAGATTTGGGATTTTGCCTATGCGACGCACGGTCCTGTGCATGCAACCTTGCCCTCACCCCCCCCCCCCCCCCCGGTCCCCCCTTCCTCTCAGAACGATTGTAAAGCCATTCCTCTGATCGGTGGAAACCTGGAGCTCAAGGACCCTTGGCGTTCGGACACATCGACAGTTGAGACACTGCAGCTGTACATGTCATCTCTCGCGGCTCTCCAGCAGCTCTCAGAGAGGCACCTGTCCGTCAGTTTAGGTTCCGGTAGCACCTGGCACCTGTCAGTTGCGATTTGCGTCAAGGGACTACGAGAGGCGGAGTTCCAGGCAAGATGTGGGCCTCAGGCTGGAAGGTGCGGGGTCCGGGTTTCAGATTCTCAACCCGCTCCGGCACTTCGTCTCCATGGCATTGCACGTCGTCGGCCGTGCTGTCGGCGGAGCTTCTCAAGGCACTCTGGCAAGATAGGTGTCTCAAAGCTGGTCGCAGCAGTAAAACAAGTCATCGTCTCGGGCGGTCGGGATTACGTTGGTGTGTTTACATGAATGCTAAAGCTCCAGACGTACAATCCCATCGTGTAAAGTGCTGGAAATGCTAGACCCTGCTTGTAATGAGGGGTGCTCGCTTGCATGTCTAGAATCAAGAACAGGCAGCTCCATGCCACAACAGCTCCATATAGCAGGCGCCTCACGGGGGACTGTGGCCGCCGTTGTGGCCGCAACGCTATCTGCTGTGGCTGAACCTTTGCAATCCGAGACTTGGTTTTGTCACCTTTTGTTTTGTCGTTCAAGCATTGTCTGTTGCTGGTGCTGTCATATACTCGAAGATATCGGAACGACGTCGTACGTTGAAGTGATCTCACCGCATCCACCTAGAAATACACTATCGTGGGGTCTGGAGCTGGGGAGGTTGTAGACGATCCGTAAGAAACCTCGGCCTTGAAGCACTGGGATTTTGTCAAGGCTTTTTTGGGGATCTTGCAAGAATTTACGATGGCCTGTCTGAGAATACTGCGGCACACAAAGCGCCCCTGAATTTGGGCACAAGCTCAAACCATCAACCTTGAAAGCCACAACTCATGTCCGTCGGTGTTCGGACGACATGAAGCCCAAGTCATTCATCGAGTCTCTTATCTGATGCCTGTTTTGGTTGCAAATGGCACGCTGCGTGACTCTGTTCAAAGCTCAGTGCTCGGGGATTCATGCAGCGACAGAGTGATTTCATCTCTCCACCGCTGACACGGTTTTGCTTTGCTGTCTCCGAGGAAGATGACGTGAAGTCCACATTGTCCGAGCATCTCGTAAAGCTGCCGCTGTTCGAGGCGATTCTTTCGGTGGTTTTTGCTCGCTTTCTGCCCTTGGGCAATTACAAGTCAGTGCCAGTCTTGGATCCTAGGAGGGCAAAGGGGGGGGGGGGTTATGCTCATACTTGGCGCCTCTTCGGGAATCCCAAACCCTAACCCTACCGGCCCTAAAATCTGGTGCCCCCCAAGCTCATGAGAGCCTGCGGCCAACACAAGCAAACAACGCAGGAAACAGGAGCAACGCACCCCTAAACCCCTAAACCCTAAACCCATAAAATTAAATCCGCTCGCTGCAGGGACCGGGCTTCTCTCGGTTACTTTTCGCAAAATGCATTGGCACAAACTTCGTTTCCATCGCCAGAACAGCTCAAGAAGACTTCAGTGGGAATTCGATTTACAGGACCGAATGGGATCACTCTGGCAAAACCTGTGCACCGAGAGGTCTGAGATCGCTTCTTCTTGACATGACACACAGACAGCGGGGCAAGACATTGCAAGCTGCATCAACAGCCAGAAAACGAATCGTTGAAACGGCAGCTTCTGGGAATCGTCAGGCCTTGAACACCGCCTGGGTGAACTTGCTGCTGGGCGTTTCTATGTTTGGGCCGGGGTCTTTCGCTTTTTTGGGTGGTGGAGGGCACTTCTTGGCCACTGGCTTGGTTCTTCAACCATTCACCGAAGACTTACATCTCAGCCTGAGCAAGAAACCCCGCGGGTCCAAGGGTTGGGTCGCAGTTTTAGTCTTAAAGCCTCAAAGGCCCGAGAGCTCACTAGCTGGGTAGGATGCCGATTTACCACGATTGGAATTGTTTTCTGTTTCGAGGCCCCCCCCCCCCCTGACGAAGTGCCCCTGCAGACTTTGGGCCGGCTTCTCACATCGGCTTGACTCTGTGGGTGTTGTGCAAGAGGCAAGGGCGGTAAGGTTGGTGACGCTGTCGACATGATCAACATGACGTCGGTCCTTGACCTTGAAGCTCACCCGGTTGTGGAGCACTCGCGTGACACAAGTCCGCTGCCACCCTGGACCTTCTCGTGGAAGCGCGTGAGAGAGGACCTGAACCTCTAGATCCTGCACCTTGCATCTTCTCCAGCGCATCTGGTAAGTAGTGACCCACACCTTCACGCTTAATTCCGAACATAGTTTCCGTACAGGCTGGTTTTGTTTATCCCCGTCGTAGGTTTTTTTGGGTACTGTCGGAAGGGCTGTTTCTCTGCCCTGGGTAGGCCCGGCGCTCAATAGCTTCTCGATCATGCATGGACAGAGTCCGAAGGCTATCACGTATCCATGACCCTCCGCGGACAGGGCTTTCAGTGGCCCCTCTGCCGCCCGGGTCGAGATTCCTCGCGCCCGAGATGTTGAGACAAAAGCCCGACGGGTTTTAAAAGGTCATCTTGTGTACTCCTTGCCACCCAGAGGTCTTAAAGAATGCTCTCCCCCAGCGGCAATGGTGTTTAAGTGGGCCCTGCGCTTCAAATCGCCGGGGAGGCAGAAGGAACAAATGAAGCCTGGCGGAGGGCACAAAGCACCTGGACAGGCCACACAAGGATTTGCTTACTGCTTGACAAGGATTCATCCAGGCGTGCCGCTATCACCCGAATTCGCAAGGTCGCAAGGTTCGATCACTGTCGCGCCTTTCCCGGCCTCGGGCTTCCGCCCTTCTCTAGTTCCTTTCCAGCGGTTGGCTCCTTGTTTTCAAATTTTCTAGTCTCTTTCGAGCGGTTTGCTCCTTCTTCTGAAACTCTCCAGTTCCTTTCGAGCGGTTTGCTCCTTGTTTTCAAACTCTGTAGTCTCTTTCGAAATTCCCTAACCTCTTTCGAGCGGCTTGCTCCTTCTTAAATTCTCTAGTTCCTTTCGAGCGGTTGCTCCTTGTCTTCAATGTTCTCTCGTCTCTTTCGAAATTCTCCAGTGTTTTTCGAGCGGTTTGCTCCTT